GCAGAGTTAAGCTATAGTGAGATGGGAAGAGGGGAAGTCAAAATGTTGTAAAACTCATTCTTCTTAGTAAGATTCCACCATTTTTCTGGAATAAACACATCTGGATTGATGTAGGTCTTTTCCAGAGTTATGAAAAAGTTGATATTCACAGTTTTTGCCACTCTGTTCATTTATGGATTTTTTTGGAAGTCCTGAATGTTCCATTCCAAAAGTACTTCTCTGGCTTATTTATTTTTTGTAGCTGTTTGTTTTAATATCCATTATCTGCAGCTGGACTCCATGAAAACTCTTTAGGAATTGTCATCCTAAAACACTGAAGAAAATGTTACTTTCAAAAGTCTTGTTTTCTTTCAAATATTAAATTAACAGTGTCATTTTTTCAGTTCTTATCTTGCATGTTAACATAGCAAGGCATCTTATGCATGTGTTATCTGACCACTCTACCTGCATTACCTTGTCCAGCTTGCTTAATTTAATATCTCTGTCTGTCAAGTTCCTTTTTTGTAAAATGAGGATTATAACCACTCACGTCACAGAATTTTTAAAGTATTATGCAAGGTAGTACTTATAAATTATTAAGAGTAGTGCCAGATCAAAAAATATTTTATATAATATATAATTATTCCATGGAAAATGCTGTTGGTGTACTGACAGGGACTGCATTAAATTTGGGTAGCACTAGCTTTGGGTAGTACAGACATTCTAACAATATTTTTTCTTCCAATCCATGAGCATGGAATGTCTTTCCATCTTCTTATGTCATCTTCAATTTCTTTTATCAGTATTTTATAGTTTTCAGAGAACAAGTCTTTCACATGTTTGGTTAAGTTTATTTGTAGATATTTTATTGTTTTTGGTACAATTGTAAATAGGACTATATTCTTAACTTCTCTTCCTGCTGCTTCATTATTAGTGTATAGGAATGCAGATTTCTGTATGTTGATTTTGTATCCTGCAACTTTACTGAAATCATTTATCAGTTCTAGCAGTTTTTTGGTGGTCTTTAGACTTTCCTCTTTATAGTGTTGTATGACCTGCAAATAGTGAGATTTTTTCTTCTTCTTAACCAATTTGGTTGCTTTTTCTTGTTGTGTACTTTCTGTGACTAGGTCTTCCAATAATATGTTGAATGGAAGTGGTGAAGAGTAGGTATCCTTTGTCTAGTTCCAGACCTTATGGGAAAAGCTCTCAGTTTTGCACCTTGAGTATGATGTTAGAGATGGGTTTTTCGTATAAGACCTTTATTGTATTGAGGTATGTTCCCTCTAGACTTACTCTGCAGAAATCATAAATGGATATTTATCATAAATGGATATTGTACTTTGTGAAATGCTTTTTCTGAATCTATTGAAATGGTCAAGTGGGGTTTTTTTTTATCCTTTTTGTTATGGATGCAATGTATCATGTTAATTGTTTTGTGTATATTGAACCACCTAGGCACCCCAGTAGTTTTTTATTAATTGAAAATATTCCAATACAGAAATGGAGAAAGTTATGTATATGGGGCTTCTACATGGGTATTACTTATTAATACTCCTGTATCAAATGCTCAGAGCAGTTATTTGTTGTGCTTGGGTAACACACGTTCTGATCAGCTGTTGAATAATTCTATCATCTCTGGTTTTCAGTTTCACTATTTAGAAAGTAAGATTCCATGGCAAGATTAGAGAAATAAATATCATGGCAAAGGTTTCTGGTATCATCATGTAACTGAAGAGTTTGCATTAATTTTTGCATTAATTTTCTCAAAGTCTCACAACCATCTCTTGGATAGGGAAAAACAGAAATGGAGCTAGCCCCTCACAATGCAGATGAAGACTGAAAAAGCTTTCTTGTCAGATTTCAAGGACAAATCTTAATGAATCAGGGCACACCACCTTAGTTGCAGTGAAAGTATATCCATGCTTTAGAATCAATGCATGTTCTTCAAGCCATGTTTGCTTTTAAGAGAACATTTGTCTTTATGATAGGCATAAATATTTGCCTATTTCTATTACAAGAGCATATTATTTGAATTATGGTTAATTTACTTATGGAAAAGATGCCCGCTAGTTTTTTTTTTTTTTATGAGATTTGGCTACTGTGTTTTTATATGTTACATGAAATTCAAACCACAACAGAAAAGACAGTCTATATAGGCTAAATAAATGTTAAAATTTAGTAACATAAAAATATTTGTCAGCATTAAAAATAAATACAAGAGTTTACTTAAGTGAGGAACTGTGGTGTTTTTGAGATATAACCTCATAAACGGTGGAAGTAAAATTTTAAAAAAATGAAAGAAATAAAAGAGAAATAACTCCTAAGACATAACAGACTTCAAAAAGAAAACAGTAAAGATGATAAAGATATAAGATAAAAACCCCTTATAGTAATTATTTCATGGAAATCTATCAATGTTAATATAAAGGTAGACAGTAATAAAATTTTGATCTGGGATCTAATTCCATGTTAGCCACTAAATTGAATTCTGAAGTAAGTTAATTCTCTTAGCTTTCATGAGCTTTAGGTTGCCAATCTTAAAAATGCCTGCTGGTCAGGCCAAAATATAAGAGGCCCAATGGAAAACTATTGAAATCATTTGAATTAAGTAACATATATCTTTGGCTAAATATTTATATTATGTTGTAGTGCCATTTTCACTTAAACTAGAGATATGTATATGTGTTAGCCAGTACTTAAAATCATAATATTGTTATCCTGTTAATATTTTATTGTTTAAGAAAGCTGAGTGAGAGGGTGAGTGAGTAATGGGGAGTTTAGGAAGCTGCCTTAAATTCCAAAGTTCCAAAGAACCCACCAGAAGAGACCAGAAGGTGCAAACAGCTATGTAGGCTTGCAGGAGAGAAACCAAAGCCTCAGCCTCAGATTAAAGTCCACAGCCTGGTGACGAGGGGCTACTAAGGGGAATACTTTAAATAACTGCAGCAGAGGTGAAATGCACACATGAGTAAAGGAAAGAGAGAAAGACACTTGGTTATACCTTTTTTTTTTTTTTTTTAAGTTGGATGAATGAAGAGATTTACAAAGGTCAGATATTTAATGAATTGACTGCTTGGGTAGTGAAACAGATCTGGACTGTCTGAATCAGACGTCTTAAAAACCCAAGAGAAGGATTTTGACACAGGTATATGTAAAGACAGAGACTTGTATTTTTTATAAAGTGTTTGAAAATATGTTCTATTGAAATATGAATTGAAAAACCTTATTTAATATGAAAGATGAAATAAAAGTTGATATATATTTGTCAAGGAATGAAAGTTCACATTTTAATAGTCAATCACCCAACTTTTAAGATACCATCAGAATACAGTTTTTGCTTTGAAGTAATTTTAAAACCTTTTTGGAAAAAAAAAAAACGAACAGTTACAAACACTAACCCGTGAATATATCTTTATTGTGAAAAATTCAACAAAAATATTTGTAGAAGAGTTAATTCTTCACTCTCCCTCAACTCTTCCCTCCACCAAGGTAATGGTTTTTAAAATACTTATTTTTGGACTGTTTTCCTGGAGCTACTTCTATGTACTTTTTACTATTAATTTTTATATATGTATATATGCAGTACATCTGTATATATAACTTCAGATTCGTATAAATATGTGAAAATATAACCATATTATTTATATAACTCCACAATTGCTCTATTTTTATCTACTGTCTTTAATAATTTTGATAAGTTTCCAAGTCAATATACAGAGAGATCCACCTCATTCTTTTTAACAACTGCCTAGCATTTCATTGGATACATGTATCATAATTTAGTATGCCTTTTATTCCATGAAAAAGATGTATCATTGTAATCTATCTTCTATTGAAGGTCATCTAGGTTGTTTCCATATTTTTACCATAATAAGTATAATTTCAGGGATTTATGATAAAAACAAATTAATTTTTAAATTACTATCCTCAAGTTAATGCAAAGCAATGGTAAATGTTCTTTCTTGCCTTTCAAAATCATTTTGTCCTTTGCAAACTCCTGTGATTTAATTTTCATTGCTTGATGTCAGATTAAATGAAACTAATTATAAGAGATGACCACTGGGGGAAAAGTCCAGACATATGACATATTTCAAAAGACACATGCTCTCTGAAATCACAGTTATATTTTTAAGGCATGATCCTGATGAACCATTTTATAAAAACAGCAGAATATTAGACACAGAATGAGTTAAAGTGTGTTTGAAATTCAATTCTAATCAGGAATATTCTGCATGATATTTTATGCCTTATGGTTCTCATCTGTGGAGAAGAATAATAATACTTTTATTTGTGTCTGTGAGGAATAAATTAGGGATATCCCCTGACATAAATAATATATTAAATAAACTTAATTCTACTTTTCTAATAGGTATTTCACAATCGCAAAAAATGGTATTGAATTCTGTTGTGTCGGGTGTGTGTGTGTGTGTGTGTGTATTTGTATACCCCTCAAAAGTTACAATATGAAGTACTTCTATTAATGTACCCAATGTATCCTTGGTAAAGGGACTAGAAATTTAAAATTGGGAAACTAAAATCTGTCTGGAGAGGTTTTGTGCCCAATATCCGGGGCAATATCTGGATAAGTCAATTAATTGCTATGACCATTTGCTCTCTTAACTATGTAATCCAATGCTAGATTGTCATTAAATGTGTATATCAATGAGTGGTTTTCAAAGTATAGTCCCGTACTAGCAGTGTCACCTGGAAAATTACTGGAAATGCCATTAAGCCCCATCCCACACCTACCAAACCAAAAACTTTAGAACTGAACACAGCAATTTGAGTCCTCTGCGTGATTGTGATGCATGCCCAATGTAGAGAAAACACTAGTGTATATCATTAAGACGTCCATACTAAAATGTGGAATGTTATTCATTTCAGTACTAATAACTACAAACAAAATATATACAAACAGCGCATTTTAATGTATCAAGTGAAAATATCAATATTATAGAGAACTCAAAATAGTGACACACATTCTATGTTGCTAAATTCCCTCCAGATTAGTCTGTTACCTGTGCTGCCTTTTACCCAGGTTTCAGAAGTGACACTCTTACTAAGTATTTTCAGATGCTCCTCAGGTAACTGACAGGTCAAATCTGGAATTGTTTTCAGCATTTTCCACACAATTTTGTGTTCACGCAATGTCCTATAAATGGGCCTTAAAACAACATCAAAAAGATTAGCAAATTGAGAGAACACAGCTTAACTACAAAGAGACAAACCAAAAATTCCTGATTTTCGAGCTTTCAAATTTGCATTTCTTTTTTTATTCCAGGTTTGCTTAAGGATACCTATGATGTTACTCTATTTTTGTTTTGGTAATCAACTTTAGAATTTATTCTCCTTCCAGCACTAAGATGTACATCCGTGAAACTTGAAACTTAAGGAAATTACCTAATGCCTTTACCTTCTTTTTATAGAAAACTCAGTGCTTCAATTATAAGACTATATCTTTTATTATTAGTCATTATAATAATAAAGACCTCTTTCATTTAGTAAAAAGATTGATTTTTTAATCCAGTGTATACTTTAAATCCTTTCAAGTACTATTAAATTAAATGAAGCTACAATTTAACATTTGATAAATATTTTAACTGAAAAAAATGCACATGTAATTTTAAATAAAACACAGTCATCCTCTAATGGATGATATTTATTTGCTTTAATCATTAAATTCACTATTTAGTATATATAATACCATAATAAAGTTACAAAATTCATGTTGATCCTAAATTCTCAAGAGACTAACTTATCATACCACTGCTAAATGCTCAATATTTTTCAAGCAATTAAAAAAAATCTATTGTGAAAAATCAGTTTGGCAACAGAAAGGGAATTTGGGATACTCATAAATGCAGGTTTGCCAGAAATAGTCCCAGTTTAGATGTAATGTCCAATTGAGACACCTGGTATGCATGTGGTTGTGTGCACACATTTACTAGATGACAATATATTGTGCTTTTTGTTGTGGGTTCTAGCAAAATAGAAGTTGGAAAAATACTAATGTAGTAGATAGTCTTAAGAAACAGTCTTGAGGAAACTGGCTTCCTAGTTAACATCATTTAAAAGTGTGTACTTCAGATGCAGTAATAAAAATGAGTGTTATTAAATAACATTTTATAACCAAAACTTAAAATATGTATCATTGATTTAGCAATAAAACAGGAGGTGGTAAAAAAATAATAATATCACAGCAAAAAAAGTGCCAAACATTTGATATATAAGTTGTCTGCAATAACTTATTGGATGTTGGAAGGCATACCAAGTAACTAGGAAACCCACTGTTTCACAGAAAGTAGATGCAAAGAGCCAGAAAGTTACTGTTTTGTTTGCTCAAAGTTACTTCTTTCTTGCAATGTATTATCAGGGGCCTAAAATTGGACAGTTTTCAAGCATAAACGGAAAGCAATGGAAGAGATCTAGCAATGCGTGGCATAAATGGAAAAGCCAAGTGCTTCTTGATTCCATGCAATAACAACAACAACAACAAAATTGAAAGATATTTGACTATCAAAGATCTATTTTCTCAATTAAATAAAGCCCTTAACCTTGTGCCAAAGTCCTAATTACAAGCTTTGCCTTCTCAACCAAGCCTATTGTTACAGAAGAACTTAAAGTAGCCTACATTAAAAGAGAGGAAGGCACAGGGAGAAGAAATAAACAAGAATTTAAAAACATTGTCTAGCACAGAACCTTGGATTTGGTTACTGGTATGCAGAAGATACTGAAAACAGATCAGAAACCCTGACAAATGATCCACATGGTCCATTGTTCTGAAATTCTCATGGAACTTTTCATTTGATTCAAACATACACTTCTGTGTTTACCATCCTCAAGATGATAAATCAAGACATTCATGTCTGAAACTTGGCCTTCACTTCCTCTCTTTAAACACGGCCTTCCTTCACTTCTCTCTCATTTTTACCTTTACCATTTGTCAGGAATGTTTTTTACATACATCATACCCACTCTTTCCTTACCTATTCGATCTACAAAAGCTCTTAGGAAATAAATTAGATTAACAAAAAAAAAAAAAAAACATACATTGAAAGATGTTAGGAAAACTATAATGCCCAAATTATTACCAGTAGAAAGGAATTTTTAAAATTAATAGTGTCATTATTATCATTACGAGTTATCAGACCACATACAATGGTGTGAAAGAAAATGTTATTTTCTTGAATTTTCATTATCCACCTCTATGTCTATTTCTAGCTCTAAATACAGCTAATCACAAAAAAGCAAAATGTTAGTATATACTAAGTATTTAGAAACATATTAGTTGGAAACAAAATAATTTCAGGATTTTCCCTTTACTTCTTTTTCTCCTGGTGATTATGTCAAACCTAAGAGCTTATAGAGTCATGACAAGTTACTAACTGGCTTCTGATGACCAGTATCTATGCGCACTGACATCATAAGATGAAACTACTATGTATAACCATTGGCATTCATGCTGGCAACCACTGAATTCCTAAATGTTTCCAGTTGTAGGTACACAACATCTAGATTTTTGTTAAGCTCTTGTAAACCTGCTTACTTTTTCACTCTTGGCTAGTTCTTCACATTTCTTGTGCTAAGGAGAGAGTACGATTGCTCCAGTGAGTATCTCTGGACAATGGGACACTGGTTAGGGCTCTCTTAAGACCTTTACATCTCTAATACTAGTAAACTCACATTTACTCAGATGTGCAAATGAAACAGAACTTCTGCATATTTCTCTAATTATAGTCTAAGAGTCCACCATCTACTAGATTAGGGTTAAAACAACAATAAAAAAAAAATCCTTGCATTTTCCTCGTAAAATATTACATGCCTTCTGATACAGGCTCCATTTAACTTAAATGTTGAGGATACACGGAGCTTCCCATACTAGCTGATTTATATGGTTTTTCTTCAAGGACTTAAAGACTGTTTAGTAAAAATATTTAGTTTTCCAGAGTTACATTTTTCCAAGAGGTAGTGCAAGTATATCTCAGGATTGACTCTGTCCTCCTGGCACTGGTTGGAGAAACAGTTGGTCTGCATGTGTTGAAAATTTTGCCGAAGACATATAATCAACTTATATTACAGAACACATAAACACAGCTATTAAACTTGGGCAGGATGTTTGTCAATGAAACAAGAGTAAATCAGAGCAGTCAAATACAAATAAGGGGATAAAGTAAGGGGAATATGCTATAAAAAATAATATTTAAACTGGGGATCAAAGAGGTTAATTTCCTCAAGGACACATAACTAATAATAATAAAAAAGAAACTGAAATACTAAAAACTGTTGCGCTATGAGCAAATCATGCTGCTAGCACAAACACACACACAAACACACAGGTGCAGAAACACACACACACACACAAAAACCCTAAATTTAAATAGAATAATTCCAGACACTCAATTAGTTCTGTAATAGGAAAAAAGCACATAGTTTTCTTATTTAAAACAGCCAAATATTATATGTGGAAAGGTACACATGATAGCTTTAAGTAATATATTTAAAGTTGGAAATAAGTAGTCAATAATAGAGAAGAAGTATTCTACTTCATGTTTTCAAGAAGATATCATTTAGGTTATTACAGAATCAGGGATATAATACAGAATCCTAGGTAAAAAGACAAACCTGCAGTATTTGTGACATGTTATTAAGGCATACATTGCATGATTGCAAATATATCAGAAATACTCTAGGGGCAAGGCTATAACTAAATCTTAATGATCTGATTTTATAATTGAAAAATACCATAGTTAAAATATTCACTGCAGACATTCTATTTTATGAACCAGAACTTAATGATTCAGAAATTACTACCTTCTTTAAGATTGTTTTCCTTTACATAACTGTTTAAATTTAAAGTGTCAACTTATCTCATCAGTTATTGCCACCATCTGGTTTCCTCTTCCTTTAAAACAAGATAACTATATACTAGGCCATACCTGAAATAATAATTATCAAGTATAATTTCATTCATTAAACTATCATTCTAAATTGTTTCATATAGCTTGGCAAAAGAACTGCATGGTCTATCATTTTTTTTTTATTTACACTTAATTTAAAATACCTAAGCTGTTTAATTTGAAGAACTCTCTGAGTATGTAGGTATTAGAAATTCTGTTAAGACACCTTCCTATTCAGGGCACCTGGATGGCTCAGTCAGTCTTTTGATTCAGCTCAGGTCATGATCTCAGGGTCTCCATGAGATCCATGAGATGGAGTCCAGTGTCAGGCTCCAAACTGGGCATGGAGCCTGTTTAAGATTCTCTCTCTTCCTCTCCTTCTGCCTCCACAATCTTCAGCCCGCCAACCCCGTCCTTATTGGTCAGCTCACACGTGTTCTCTCTCTCTCTCAAAAAAAAAAAGAAAAAAAAAAGAAAAGAAAAAGAGAAAAGAAAAGACAGCTTCCTATTCCTGGGCGGTCAAATAGAAAAGAAAAATAAGCAAAAAAAACAGGAGTAACTGATTGCAAGACCTCATTCAGAAAGGGTTCCCAGAAGGCCTAAGAAGGTCTCTAAAATGAAAGTAAATGTCAGAAATGATAATTAATTTTTACTTTTCAAGGACTTATAAACATCAAAGAAAATATCTCTAGGTCCTGTCATAAAATAATCATTTCTTAAAGAAAGATTTTATTTATTTATTTGAGAGACAAAAAGAGCATAAGCAGGGGGAACAGCAGAGGGAGTGGGAGAAGCAGACTCCCTGCTGAGCCAGGAGCCCGATGCAGGGCTCTATTCCAAGGTCCTGGGATCATGACCTGTCCCTAAGGCAGACACTCAACCAAATGAGCCACCCACGTGCCCCAAAACAATCATTTTTTAAATTGGAAGTAAAGGTATATGGAGATAGAGCAGATTCAAAATTTGAAGAGCTGTCAAAGGAAAGAGGGAATAAGATTATTCTGTCTGGCAATTATGAAGAGGTTATAAAGAGGTCAATTTTTTCTAATTAAAAGGTACAATTAAAATATTAAGAACAATAAAACAGATCCTTGGGAAATGTGTGTGTGTGTGTGTGTGTGTGTGTGTGTGTACAAACACACAAAATTCAAGCATTAGTTCCCTATCAAAATCCTCCTACTGTTTGGGTTCACACTTTCTTTTAATAATGGTTAAAAATAACCAACTAAACAGAAATCTACAGGAGGCTCAGTCTCATGT